GGACTTGCTTCCACGCAGTGTATTCTCTCGAAAGGTTTTGCCCTCATTTCTATGTTCCATGTGCTTCCATACTGTATGTCGCTGTGGCGAAATAACAAGTGGCCCATTACCAGTTTATTACCTTTTAAAATTGCTTTTTGTACATCGTTATAGGCGATCAGGCCACCCAGCCATTTCCATCATCAGTCTGTTTTGCGCATGGGACATTTTTGTGTCAGAAACATCACACTGAACTGTAGTTCATAATCAGTCGCGCCAGTGAATCAGTGGCAGTATGTCTTGCTTGCGTATAATTGTTAGCTTATAAGCTTCAGTCCATCACCTCAAGAGATCAGCTCAGTCGTGGCCAACGGTGAATTAAGGCAGAATGTAAAATATGAGTAATTAGGAACAATAATAATTACAGTCATCTGTAAATAGGCCAATCACGATTTGATCGAAAATCTTGACGAATAACGACGGTGGTACAAAAATATCGAGCGAAAGAATTTTGCGTTTAGACAATCAGCGTCATCATTTTACACGTTAACTAGTGGTGGGAAACACCTCAGCTGTTCTGCCGCAGTACACGAGAAAGGAAAAAAGACTCAACCAAGGCACGCCAGCTCAGCCACCGTTAACGGATGAACACGGTTCCGGAGAGCTAGCCTTCTGCTATTGTGCCGTAGAAAAAAAGTATTATTAGCTGTCAGAAATGAGATCGTGGTTGGAGAGGGAGGAACAAGGATACTCACAATACAAACGCCAATGAGGTCGGCTCCTAGTCATACTAATAAGTTACCGCTTAGCCTCCTCACCTCTTCTTCCATCCACAACCCGGTCGCCCAAACAACGTGCGTCGCGGGAGTCCGTGGGCTGGCATGCACAACGTGTTGCCCAGCCATCAGAACCTGATTCCTGAAATAACGGGGCTGAGCGGCTCACTCGCTCTTCCTGTACACAACGTCGGACACGCTCATTGCTCACGCGGTGTCCCCATCAGTAGGATCGAACATACTCTACCCTGAGGGGAGAGAGTAATATCGTGCCGGCGCCATAGGTGACGAAAATTAACAAAAGCATCTCGACCTTTTGCCATACGGTTCGTGACCTCGTCTTCGATTCCACCGACGCGGATACAACTGCATTGGTAGCTAAATTTCTGCACGACTTCTAGCTTAACCCCACCAAGAATCAACGTAGGAGGCGGTCACTGCCAGCCTTGGAGGAAAGTTTTACACTTCGAGGATACAAAGCAAAGCTTGAAACGGCTGACAGCCGGTGCTGCACTGTCTAGTGATGCTTGGCACGTATGGGAGCTGTAACGGCTTAGGGCAATGTCGTCAGCATACTCCAAGTCAAGAAGTCGTTTATCTGGGATCAGCTCCACACCTAAGTCGTGTCCACTGAATGCGATTCCCATGACTTCGTCACTAGCGAAATTGGAAAGGAAGGGTAACAGTGGGCATCCCTGGAAACATTGAAGGGCGGCGACAGTTTTCCGTATGCCATCACTCTGCCCGAGCTGCGCGCACAAAATGCTCAGGCACACCTTACCTTAACAGTCAGTCCCAAAGCACACATTGGTTCACCATATCGGAGGCAGTTTTGATGTCGAGGAACACGACAGTGGTGGACTGCCAATGTATGTGTTGGTGTTCTAACAGTTGACGTAAAGTGAAGATTTGATTGATGCAACCCTGACCTTGACGAAATCCGGCCTTCTCATGAATCTGGATTTCACATGTGCTAGTCATTATATAATGGATGACAGAAGCAAGTAACTTGGAGACAATAGATGGGTGCCGCAATCCGAACGTGAGCCTCCCTTGATGATCGTGACAGTGACGGAGCTGCTCCAATCGGTAACACAGTTTCCTGCCCCTACAGTTTCAACGATAACTAGTATAACTCACCCACAATAGCAGGTCCCTCGAGTTAAAACTCGAGGGGGCTTGAAGGTAATCGCCTGGTCCCGCGGCGCTGTTTAACTTCAGCTGTCCGATTTCATGTTTGACTTCTGAGCGAGAGGATGTATCCAAGTAGGGACTGCCCAAGGAGCAGTTCGATAACTGATTTGCTGATTAAATCAACTCAACGCTCCAAGCGCTTTGACAAGTCGTGGATTGTCTGTCCACTCTCGTCGCATATAATCTCACCAACACCAATTCTCCTGCTGCCAGTTTCCTTTTGATGGTTACCTAGGGCATTGGCCATTTCCATCTCCGATGCGAGATGAGCCCACCAGGCTTCGCGGTCCTTATTCATCCTAGAACGGGGTTTTGCTCTGAGGTCTTTACTCGTCTCGTGTTCACTCCCAGCCGGTTTGTATCGGCGGACATCGATGAGTTTCAGAGACTGTGAAGAGTCCCAATGTCCAGTTTGTTTATTAGGTTTACAACACGAAGATTTGCCTGTCGCTAGCAAGGTCTGGGGAGCATGCTAACAGTGACTGTATTGAGTGAACGTTTACTCGACCGAAATGTCACCGTACTTCGATACGCATTCAGAACACCTGACTTCGCCAATTGGCCGGTGTCTGTGCGCTTACAGCGTCGTTACAGGCCTCCGCCAAAATCCACCCGCAGATCAGCATGTACAAGTGTATGGTCAGTGTCCGCACATGTGCTCCACATCGAGCGACAGTTTTGTACGCAGTTTCTCCGGCGGTAACTGATCACAATGTGGTCGATTTGCGTCCATGACTAGTCCAAGGCTGATGGGCGCCATGTCAGCCCCTGTCCTGTGCTGGGTCGGAAGTTAGTGCTCGCGAGAAACAGGCGAGCATCTTTGCACAGGTGTTTTCATTACAGGGGCCTACATCGTGTTGGCCGCTTAGATGCAGCTCATCAGTGGGCAATTTTCCAACTTGACATTCAATCACCACCAAGCATCGCAGTGTCCATACTTTTTCCGTAACGAAGAAACGCGTTCAATTGATAGTAGAAGTCATCTTTTGCCTAGTCAGCGCTACATTTTGTTGGTGCGTACGCAGCGACGGCAAACAGGCACCTATTAGTCCCACGCGATTTCGGTCAATTGTTACAAGGCACCGCCAATGGCGGAGTCCGATGCAGGGTGGGCGACGCGATCTGACTTCCTGACCAAATCGCTGGTGGTACCAGCATTAGGACGATCTGAGAAGGCACTTCGAGGAGGATGGTGAACGAGTTCGACTTCTAGGACGAGATTGGCGATGCGATATGGAAACTGAAATGTCCTCTAGTCGTTTGTTAAGCGTGACCATCTGTGCCCTATGTTCCGTTAACTCAGTACTAGAGCTCGATTTTACTTGCGAAATTTGGCCGTAAGGTTCCCAGATACTGTCGGCGGTGTCGGCCAACTGGGACAATGGCGCCCAGAGTACTTTGCACATCTCACGGGGTTGTCGTTGCAACCACGTCTCCCGGAGGAAAGCCTCTTCCACTGTTGCGAGTTTTGCTAGGCACTGCATTTCTCTTAACAGCTAAGTTGGCTAAGATCGCTGAGTTCGGTTTCGCTCGCGATTTTTGTAACTCTTTGTCGGTTAGACAAGCCTGTTCTTTTTAGAACGGTAGCTTTAATCGCTTCAAACGTTTTCTGCTTGTCGGACAGATTTAGAATATCATCAATGTCGTCGGTAACAGGTGGAGGAAGCTTAGTTACTTCATGGTGGAGCTTAATCCACTCGAACTTAATACGATGCAAAAGGAACTGAAACTCTATAATCGCGAACCAGGCCTTTAGGATTGGTCTTGCGGAAAGGCCGGATAAGGAGATTAACAGTACTAACCTGGGCGTGAGAATCTAGGCGATCGGATTCTATAGCGAGCAACTTTTTTCAGTATTTATGCTGAGCCAGCAAAACTGAAACCAAAAATTGAAAATATGGAAAATCAGCAAATAGACGAAATAAGTGGCAGAATCAGAAGTGAAAAGTTATTAAAAGACACCGTTTATAGTGGGATCACCACTTATGGCGCGTCGGTCTTGCGCTACATACCAAGTATGCATATGAAACGGTCAACCAAAAGTGTGCGGAATAACACGCAGATAAAAGCTAGAACAACATTTAGTACAAGGTTGCTACAATCTAACGTTAAAAATAAGGCACCAATAGGGCGTTAGCTAGGGAAGACATGATCGGGTGCCTGGCGCGATGTGTCCAGCTTCGAAGGCCACAGCGGCAGCCACAGTGTGTGTGTGTGTGTGTGTGTCTCAAACAAAGCTGAGCTCCATTAAAACAAGTGGACCGCCTACTTCCCTAATAAATAAGAAAATTAAGATTTTATAATATTTAGATTGATTTACTGAATCAAGCGGTAAAAATATCCAGGTCACTACAATCTTTCTACTTACAAATACCAGACTGGTTTTGTGAAATTCAAAGGGTGAGAGCTGTCGGTTTCAGTCTGGCAGTACTCGTAAGAAGCGTTTTTGCTTATCTCCATATCCCGCCTTCTTTACAGTCTTTTCATTTTATCATCATATCACTCTTTTCCTCTACGGCTGTAACATTTTTGCTCCTTGACATGTGGATTCCATGCTCTTTGTGTTTTATAAACTGTCCAGTCCCCCAAACAATCTATCCTCATTTATTTGTATACTTAAGACCGGTTTTACTTTTGCCGCTATCAGGAGAACCTTACTCATTTTGTCGAATTCGTTTGTTTTTTTTACGTCGTATTAAACTAGAAAGCCTATTCCATATCAAACTGAACTTTATAAGAGTTCTGTCTAACTGGTATCCTGAATGAAAGCACTACAACCACACATTCCGTGCTGCGTATTACCTATCTGCTTTTTAACCGACATTACATAGAGCGGAGTTTACTGTGCACTTTATACCACAAGTTTGTGTAGGAAGCTAGGATTTAAACGTAACATGAAGGCTCGAATTTTAGGTCGTCACATCTATCTTTGTATTTTTACCTCACACGTTGTTTGGTCTTTTACCACCTTTTATGTCTGAGCGTAGCTCCTTCATTCATCAGGATGTGCTTCATTTCGCTAACTGTTGCGCCTGCCCCCCCCCCCCCAAGGTTTGGCAGGTGTGCTTGCTGTCAGTCAGCTCGCAACGGCCGAAAGAGACAAATTATCCTTTGGTCGCACGTTACACGGACCACAGAGCCATTCGCAGGACACGATTCTGCAGCGCTTCTCCATCTTGCGTGCCATGGAATTGGAGAATGAGGGTCAGTTGCACATGGCGGCCGCTGTATACGAACATACCCTTGCCGCGCACGAGTCGGCAGAATTTGTGCATGCAAAGGTCGTGCCTGACATCTTCTCTCCATTGACGGAAGAACAGCGCCTCATGTTGTACGGTGGTATTTTCCGCTGTGAACTACCTGATCCAGCTCGTTTGCATGGTTTGGTCGAGAGAGTTGGTGCCTTGATTCGTCACGCCAGAAGCAACTCCTCGGACGGGAATCAGTCATCCGCTTGGATACGTGGGCTCAATGCCTATCGTGCCGAGGCCGCTTGGCGTTTGTGCGACTGGGAAACGTTGGCAGAATCAACCAGCTTGGTCAGTTTCGTTCCTTGTGTAGCGCCACATCAGTACCTTGGTATTTGTTGCATGGAGGACGTACGTGAAACCGGTCGCTTTCTACCACCGTTAAACCAGTTGTGAAGCGTTTCTTTATCTTCTGCGTCAAATCGGCCGGATTCTCAGCAGAACTCCTTCTTTTGCGTTTGCCATTTGTTTCATCCCCTGCCCAGAAATCCGCATTTTATATGCGTTATTTGAATGCGGTGGGGTTCATATGGTCTGCATCGTTTGACTCAAAGGCACTGAGGGTTGCGCGCTTGGTATCGCTATTCTACCTGCACTTTTCTGTGTCCACGTTATATTGATTCTTACTTATGTAGTTAAAGCTTTTAATATGAGAGTGGCGATCATTCAACACGTCCACTACTCAGCTTTCACACTGGTACGACCGTCATTTCCACCGTTATTCTGATAAACCCTCCGAGCACCGACTGCTCCCCGCTCGTCTACTCTGTCCACGAAGTTTCATTAAGGCGCAGATATCCGGTATGTTAGAGACGGTGCTAACGTAGGACTCTCATTCCATTCTCTAACTTCCAATGGAACTCCATTTTGGAATATCGCTTACCTCGACAGCTTTAATGCCATTTACGACGCGTCCTTTTTTAATCCTTCATAATCGATCTGCTTTTATGAACGCATAAATACGCTGTCGCGCTGGGAAAGCACACAGCCTCATGCTCATGCGCTGTGAAGCTTGTTTGTACTTGTTCCGCGTTCTCCATTTTTGCCATCTAATTAGAGTTCGAAAAATAAAATCCATATGCTAAGGGAGGGCTGCCTCTGACTTATTTCCATAGGTGGCTGTTGCACTGCCCCTGAGTATTATAGACAATTTCTCGGTCTAATCTTTTCATACTAATTCTCACGCAGTGACACCATCCAATTCATATGTTGCTTTTATTTACTTATACGTATGCGACCCGATACCTCATATCGCCAGACAACGCAGCTGAACACTGCAGTATGCTTCCTCTTGCTGTCGAATGCATGGTTTCTAGCGTCACTCCAATTCCACGCTCTGACACGTTCATATTCTACAACCACGGAAGTCCTCTGCTACCTCTAGAACGGAGCGAGAGATTAGCTTCACTTATTTGCTTTCTCATTAGACTTCGATTGTCGCAGTCACATCGCCCGACCGGCTGAAGCCCAAGAGACTTGACAAACGAACAACCAGAAACACCGTTTGCCTAGGTCTCACTGATATTTGATGCGTTCGTGGATTGGACAACCGGGTTAGGTCGTGTTAACGCAACCAAAGGGTAGATGCTATTCTGGCCTCTTTCATCTTTTCAACATAGTTTTTCGACTCAGTGTGCAGCTCGTTTGACGACAACAAATAAGGTTGATTCACGAAGTGAATTGTGGTTTCCATTTATGCCCCCACCGACTGCAGTTCTGATGATGCCAAGGAATCCATCTACCACGAAATTTGCACACTGTTACGCAGTGTTACCAGTTCAGATATCACACTTCTTTCAGGTCGTCTGAGTGCTTCTAAATCCCAGCCAGGTGGTAAGCACCGACTTAACTCCGACCGTACGGACAACGAGATGCGTCTGTTGCAACTGTGCGCGGAGCATCGGCTGTTTCTTAGTAGCAACGCTTTTGGACACAGTGGGCGCCGAAGTGCCACCTGACGTTCACATGTAGCTGGCTACCGATAGACCGAAATAAATCATGTTGTCATAACTTACAGGCAGCGTGGTTCCATCCTGGATTGATCCTGCTTTTACTATGTCCTTTTCCATGAACTTTACCGGGAGGCGTATCAAGCGCCTCGATTGGCAGCTGGGAAATTATCTCAACCCTCGGTCAGGCTAGGATTCCATGTATAACAAACTATCGCTGTCTCACCCTGATGACACTGAGTTTCAGCGGAACAGGCTTTCCACCCACGTGCATGATACGGGAATCTCAGTTTGTGGCACTATCAATCTTCCCCGCACCAGTCACTGGATATCCAAGAGATCGATGAACCCTTTGGAATCCAGAAGAAAACTCCCGGCTGGCTCTGCACACAGTGTAACTGGACGAACTATTAGGCGCAAATTCAAGCGGAACTGGCGTGCTGACAATAAATGGATGAGGTGAGAGCATTAGGCAGATATCGCAAGCTCTCCCAACGCGTTCGAGCTGCTGGTTCTTGGAAACCAGGTGTCAGTGGGACAATCAAAAGCAGAGTGCATACACTGATCCACAATAGGGAGCTTCCACTGGCTCGTTGGGTGGAGCACTTTCGAGATCAGTTCAGTTGGCCCCTAGCTCCCGGATGCCTTCCCACTCTGGTGATCAGGCTGAGCCATGGTCGGTAGGTTTATAGGTTCCATCGGGGGCTGATGTCCGAAACTCGAACAAGCCTTTAATCGTTTTTTGTGTTGCTAGTCTGGATTCCTTCTCACCCGAACTATTTATGAATGCTGGTGACGCCCTCTGCGAAGCACTGACCCTCTTATTCGTACAGCCAAGGAAGGAAAGGGCTATCTCAGTCAACTGAAATGTTGTCTGGTAAAATCTAGTTGATCTTGTTTGAATGGTACTTCGTAGTACACGTTTTGTGAATGGATTACGACTCGCAGTGTAGACCGCAACTCACGTTAAAGTGTTGTGTGGTGTTTTCAGACAGCCAATTTCCATCTAGTTGATGTTGCTGACGCAGACTCTATTGTTTTGCTGTTTAACAATGCTGCGGTCACCCAGTCAACCCTGAATTATCTCGCTAGAGTGGTATCATTTGGCATGCGCAGTGTTATTGCAGGATCATCATCCATCAACATTATACGTTAGTTGAAGTTGAGCAACACACTAACTATTGTGCCACAGTACATAAAGATGAGGTATCCGAAAATTCAAGCTAGTAAACATTATAAAATGCAAAAAAACGGGCGATTCACTGCTGAGTAACCTATTATACTTCAAGAGAGAGAGAGAGAGCTCATGGTTAGAAGAGGAAGATAAGGGGATGAGGAGGCACAAAGAAACAACAGAAAGGCTATTGTGGTCGGCTCTTTGCCATATTTACTAGGGTATCCAACCAGACGTGCTCATCGTCCTTCAGACCCCAGTCAGACAGTCGGGGCACGCCAACCGACGCCAAATTCAAATTGTGGGATTTCATTCTTCTTGACCAAGTCATCGCTTGGCCATCCCTCCTTTTCTTCCATCCTCACCCCCGGCGCGCAAACAGCTCACGGACGCGGGAGTCGGCGTGTTGACATGCTCAACACGTGACCCAACCATCGGAGTCAGGTGCGTGATATAACGGTGCTGAGCGGTTCACTCGCTCTTCCTGCACCACATGCACAACGCCGAACAGGCTCATTGCTCACGCGGTGCTTCCACCAGACATGAGCTAGGCTGCTAAGGCAGTGATGCTCGAACTAGCTTCTTTGTCTGTCGACTTGATGGGCCATGTTCCCCAGCCATACAGAAGGGTTGAACGGATGGCTTGCAGGACCATTAGTCACTTGTTGATCCATAGACTTGACAAAGGGCATCTACAGTACACCGGTAAGCAGTACCGACGCTTCGCTGCCGCGCAACCACCATCAGTCGCACGTGGGCTAAGAATAATGCTAGGGTCGCACGGTCCCTACGCAGACTAGAACCCACGCCCTCGGATTACAAGGTAGGCTTGTGATCCTTAAGGCTACGGGTTGGTAGACTCTTGGAAGCGAGGAACTCGATGTATTTGCTTACTTCACTTATCTTGACAGCTGCGTCAGCAACGATGGACGCATAGCCACTGAATTCATTTCAGGTATAACAAAAGCTGGAACTGCCTTTTGAATCTGCGACATTTGTGGCATTAGAAAAGCGGTTTCCGTCGGTCTGAAAGGCCGTGTTTAGAATGCCACAGTGGGGGCCGTCCTGCTCTATGGGAATAAGACTTGGCCCCTTCGGTATGAGGGTCTGAGGCACCTTCAAGTCTTTGATCATTCTTGTCTGCGAAGTATTACATGTGTTGTGTGACATCAGCTTGTCCACAACGATTATGTGCGTAGGCAAGTACTAGGCAGCGATAACCAAGGTAGTTCCTTATAACAACAGATATCACTGAATAAGTTGCGTTGACTTGGGCACATACTACGTATACCTGGTCACCGCTTCCAGGCTGGAGTACACCTGACCCGCCTTGTGCTTGGCTGGAAACGTTACAGAACATGGCTCGCAATCGACATCAGTGACACGTCTGCTGTCGTTTCCTAGTCGGGTTGCCTGTTTAAAGTCTGTTGCTCAGTTATCTGCGAAGTAATGGCTGATTATGACGCGGAGAAGTGAAAGTCACCAGAAAGCTGTCTGGCTGACACTGGTGGTCTGATGCTTGTGACCGTGTATTGTTAAAACAATATGTGGGCACCTTGACCTTTGATCTTTGTGTAGGCATTAAGGGTTAATGCTAGCTCCCCCTTCTCTCACTGTTACTATTCTTCATTCCGTAGGTCATTCGGGGTTGTACGACAACAAAGCATCAGTTCAAATAGCTAATATATTGCTGTTGATGACAATGATTGTGATAGTTCATTGCCTGTTAACCATGTAACCGCAAATGCGTTTCACAGCATTCATCTGATAGTATTTGTTGTTGAAGTGCGATGGCCCTACTAATGCCAATGCAGCTAAATCCCTCGACTAACCCTGTTACAGTTCATAAATCTTGGAACATACTTGGGACCGATCTAGAAGTCATGAGTTCAAAGAAGCTTGGAAACAATCGGTTGGTGTATTTGTTGTGCAGCGTTTCGCTTTTGCCACAAGAGCTCCGTCATGCCTGGTGAATCAGTACACAATTCGAGTGGCGTTTTATGGCGAACTAAGATGATCATCGCGATGACAGAGGCATGCGTTAAGATGTTTTTACCGTCACTGGTCTGGATGTCATCTCATGTTTTCAGCCTCTTCGGGTATAATCCATGTGTTCCTTCACACGTACTCGCATTGACAGATGAACCCTTGCTGGTTGAGATGGGGAGTCGATTTTCGCCCTTCAACCAGATTCACACATGAACGTTCGTCATGCACTTATGAGTTTCATCCTCCTCATCCTGTTGACGCAGCTATCAGTTTTGGCGAGCTCCACCGCCTCAGCAATTAACCGCTGGGGTGTTGTTCTTATACTCCTCGAAATCTTGACATTATCCAGGTCGATCCGGCGACTCATGTCTAATGCACGCACAGCCACGGCCGAGTCTCTTAATAGTATCCGTATTCATACTCGTACGTCGATGTTCGTGAAATACACCTTTTATGCCCTGGAATTCGTATGTATAGCTCTGTCACATTTCAGTCTGTCTACATGTGTAGTCTTTACATCTAATTTTATAGTCACATCTTGTCGTCCTATCCTTAGGATGGGGGTCCTTCAGGTGCACTATCGTTGAACGTAGTGTTTGCCTACACTTTAAGCTCATCCTTATATTCCCCCTATTTAGTAGCCCCCGATATTCCTTCCTTGTACAGAATTCTTACTGTCTTTTACTGATTCACCTGGTCGGACGAAACTTGTATCAAACGCGAAATGTTGACCAACAGATAGACCAACCGATTGTTCCCAAACCTCTCCGAACCACTGTTATAGTTCCTTCTTCCGTCATGTGGGTTATGAGTCCGATGAGTGACCTTTGACGCCAACATCAACAGAAATAGTTGAAACATTTATTAGTACGATATCTCTTGTATCCTCACAAAAATCCGGCCGTTTATTTGCCATCTGGCGGATTAGAATAGCCACTGTTTCTATGTATGTTGTTTTTGCTAGACCCACTGGTGTTCCACCTAGGCACGGATGAACGAACAGGACATTCTCTGGCAACGTTTGGTGGCTCCTCACTTATCGTTGTTTTCTGTTTCAGTATCCCCAGCATTCCACTTGGTCGGTTGGTCTGGGCAAGTTGTTTTTCGCCATGCACGATCAGGTTCGTTTCGTATTATTCCGTGGTATTTAACAAACCAATAGAACAGAACTCGCTGTATCTTTGTTTGAAACTCAATGTCGTATTGTTAATTCCCACTAGCAACCCCCTCTTAGCTAGTCTGTTGCAAAATGATCTGCTTTTATTAGTGGACTGTTTTCATTGCACACTGACGGTATTACTGTGTTTGACTCATTGCGACTAATCGTTTCTCATATTTCCATATCCTTCTTAGTTAGTCTGAGTCAACCGTTATCTGCTTTTGCCGCAGGATTTAAATCTCTACTGCACACCCACCAACAGTTGTGACTACCCTCCAACAGTATGAAGTGTCGTTTACCGCCGCCTATTTTCATGTTCTTTCTGCCAGTCTGCTCTTGCTCGTGCGAACTCCGTTTGCGACAACCCTGAACCTCATCACAATGTAACGGCTTGCGTGCCTCTGATGCATGGAGTTATACTGGTTGGTGCGCTCTGGCACCTTGGCATCTGTCACTACGAGACTGAATCTTAACGTCGTGTGGCGGTATGCGTAACTGGTCGACCCATTGAGCTAAACTGCGTGGGACCTATGGGCCTCTTAAGAGCTACTTCTGCCAGGTTGATCAATGGTTAGAGGACAGACGAATTCAGTCTCCTGGTCTTCCAGATTGGGTTTGAAATAGGATTGCGTCCATTTCTGTAGAAACGAATCGTTATCACATCCGCTGCCTTGTGGACAGGCTTTTGAGCCAAAGGCTTTGGTTGAGGACCCTAATTGTTCTCCTGTCTAGGCCTGGACTTCCTGGAAGTATCTCAGCCCACGTACAACCGTGACTTCTCCAAACTTAAATCATCCTGCATCGGTCGTCGCGCAGATTATCAAGGGTCGCCATATCTGCTGCCTACAGCAGGGCGGATAAGCAAAAACATGCTACTGCTGGCGCTCCCTTCTTTCTTTTACACCTGTTTCTCATACTCCTCTCCTAATGTCCATTACTAGCCCTCATATTATAATCTAGTTTAATTGACACCAACCGCAATGTCACTGAAGTCATACCATTTGCAACTATGTTACCGCACCACCCACTGGACAGTAATCATCAACAGCTCCTTATAAGACCACAGTGTCCCGTTTCCCTGGCTGCGTTAAACGTTCGCACTGTAAGACAAACAGGTCAACAGGCTGCACTCGCACTCACTTTCCACACGCTGCGTATTGAAGTGTGTTCTGGGATCAATGACGGTCACGGGGTTTTTGAGTTACTTACACCCGGTTTGTCCTCTCGCTATTGGTTGCACGCATCCGGAGACGCTGATGCGGCAACCACTGGTCAAGGTGGAGTTCTCAACTTCAAGACTGATTCATCGTTGGTTGATTGGATTCCCGTGGGCAGGCGTTTATATGCAGTCCGTTTGACGACATTGACTAAGGTTGATTCACAGAGTATCACTAGACGCTGTTTGTTTGTGGTTTCCACTTTATGCCCCTTCCCATTGGAGCTCTGATGCTGCAAAGTACGCTTTCTACCACGAATTGAACGCGCTACTACTGATATCATAGTTCTTGCAGGGGATATGAATGCGCAAGTAGGTCGTCTGAGCACTTCAGAAGCTTAGCTAGGTGTGGAGTTAACTCCGAATGGACAGACAACGGCAAGCGTCTGTTACAGCTGTGTGCGGAGCACTGACTGTTTCTTAGTAGTACCGCTTTTAGACCCAGTTGGCGCCGGAGGACCACTTGGTCTCTCCCTGTAGCGGACCAGCGATAGACCCAAATGGATCACTTTACCATAAGTTACAGGTGGCGTGGTTCCATCCTGGGTTAACGCTCGCTCTAGGGTACTTGCGTCGACTCTGATCGTGCCTTTTTTACGCTGTCCTTTTTCCAATACCTCTACCGGGAGGCGTACTAAGCACCTCCCTCGATTTGCAACTGAGAAGTTATCTCAGTCCTCGGTCAGACAAGCCTACCAGGATGCCCTGCGTAACGAACTTTCGCTCTCTTGTTCTAATGACACCGAGCTTCAATGGAATAGGATCTCGGCCGCCATGTAACATGCATGAGCCTCCGCTTGCGGCACTATCAATCGTCACCGCACCCGTTACTGGATATCCGAGAGTTCGACGAACCTGTTAGTATCCAGAAAATATCTCCCGGCTAGCTCTGAGCACAATGTAACCAGGCGGACTATTAGGCGCGAACTAAAGCGGAGCCTGTGTGCTGACAAAGATACCTGGTGGATCAGTCGGGCTCAAGAAATGGAGGAAGCAGGAGCAGTAGGCACTTACCGCAAGCTCTTTCAGCTGATCCGCGCCACTGGTCGCAGGGAACCAGGCGTCAGTGAAACAGTCAGAGATTGCGCGGGTGCACTGATTCACAATAAGGAGCGCCGCATGGATCGTTGGGCGGAACACTTTCGAGAGCAGTTTAGTGGTACCCCTGCTTCCGGGCCTCTTCCTACTCAGTTGTTGCATGCTGAACCATGGACGGTTACTTTTCTCCATCTGAGGCTGTGGTGCGTAACGCGATTGTATCCCTTACTCGTTTTCATGGCGCTGGCCCGGATTCACTCGCACTCGCACTATTTAAGGATGGTGGTGGGGTCCTCTGGAAAGTACTGCTTTGAATTGCGTTCCGCTGTGCCAGGCGTTGCTCGCGGATCTCAGTGGCATAGTAATCAGGGCGTCAGCCGTGAACTACTATGCTCTGAATTACACCCCAACTCAGGCTATCTCCACCTGACGAGTCCAAACCAGGTCGATACCGCAGTTGTGGTGTGACAGTGTTGGGAAGAGCAACACCCATCTATTTCCATTACTGACCTCCCTGTTTGAGCATGTTTGGAATGCTGAGACCATCCCAGTGAATCAATTATAGTGTCGATGTACAATAAGGGCAGTCGCACCGACTGTGTTAACCACAGGCGTATTAACCTGACGCCGGCGGTGACAAAATTACTGGCCTCAATTCTCGTTCGACGCCTCACTGCGGAATAAGAATCACGGATTAGTGAAGAGCAGGCAGAATTTCGCCCATGAGATGTCTGTACGGACTACATATTCACTCTGAGGCAGGTGCTGGAGCAGCGCCACACGTACCACAGGCTGACAGTAAGTGTGTTTCTCAACTTCAAGAGTTCGTTTGATTCAGTTGATTGGTCCATTCTGTTCCAAGTACTTGTGTGGAAAGGTGTTCCCATGAAATAGTTGAACCTTTTACATGCCTTGTACTCGAACACGACAGGCCGCGTCATGGTCTACGATGATTTGTCAGATGCCTTTCCAACACTAATTGGCGTTCGTCAGCGTTGCTCAATTTCCTCATTTTTGTTCAAGTTTGTTGTGGACTCCATCATGAAGTGTTCCCTTGCGGAGCCTAATATTTCAGGCTTCTAGGTGCTGCCTACTCATAATGATATTATCCTGCTTCTTAACGATGATAGGCGGCGCGATAAACCCTAAATAACCTCTGAAGTGGTCCCATCATTTGGCATTCCTTTCGCACCTTCGAATTGCACAGTGCGGTTACAGAATCACCAGCCACTTTAATGCCTCCTTGAACTTAGATGACGAGGAACTCGGAGTAATTGATCGAATCACTTACCTTGGATGCTGTATCCGCAAAATTGGGCTTATAGTATCTGAAGTCAGTTCACGCATTGCAAAAGCTAGAAGTGCTTTTTGAATCGGTGGCGTCAGAAAGTTATTTCCCTTCGTCTAACAGTCCGTGTGTACAAGCCACGATGAGCTCCGTCCTACTTTATGGAAGCGAGACTTGTCATCTCCTATCTGAGGACCTGCGGCGCCTTCAACTCTTTGATCATCTTTGTCTGTGAAGTATTTCTGGCGTCGGATGTAACCAGCGCGTCCGCAGCGATCATGTGCATAGGCGAGTGGTAGGCATGCTACCCAAGCTAGCTCATTAGTCTAACTGATAGCACTGAATGAGTTGCGTTGGCTTGAGCACGTACTACGTGTGCCTGGTCATCGCTTACCGAGATGGGCAGAAGTTGACTTGCAGCGGGAATTGAAGTCACTGACGGCCCATTTCGGTGCCGTCGGTCCGTCTCACCTTTCAGGCTGGAGTCCACGTGACGCGCCTTGTGCTTGGTATAACGGGTTACAGGACATGGCTCGCGGTCGACACCAGTGGCGTGTCTGCTGTCGTCTAGTCGGATTGCCTGTTTAAAGTGTGTTTGGTGCTGAGTTATATCCGAGGTAATGAGTGATTATGACGCGGGTCAATGAAAGCCGCAAGGAGCTGTCTCGTTGATGCTGCCTTAGCTTTACCCCCTAGCCAGCTGTTTGTGACGATATGTTGTCTACACAATGTGTAGGCGCCTTGACCCTAAATGTTTGCTTAGGGCATAACGTTTTTTCTTATAAATCCAGTTTCTCTCCCTTTTATTGTTCTTCGTTCCGAAAGTCACCGTGGTTGTGCGGCAGCCAAGCACCAGTCCAACTGGCTCATGTTCTGTTCTTGATGCTGATGATGATCGTGAATCTTGGTGGTCAAAACAAGCTGGTGAGATGGAAGCCGCTGCATCAGCTGGCAACTTCCGCCGTCTGTTTTACATCATCAGGGCCACTGGTTGCAATTTCCATGCTATCAGCCAGACGAGTTGCGAGGCAGACAGCACGGAGATCACCAACCTTCACAGACGATTGGGTCGCTGGGCAGAGCATTTCGCTCTTCAATTCAACCACCCAACACAGTCCCCTGTGACACCTCCAGCCCCAATGTATGATGCCTGGCCTGTCTCCACAGCCCCCCCCCCCCCAAATGAAGCAGAGATTCGAAATGTAGTCCAATCTTTGAAACGCCACAAAGCTTCGGGTCCCGACAACCTACCACCAGCTCTATTCTAAGATGGTGGGGGTGTACTTATCAGCGAAATCCTATCGCTGTTCACGAAAGTTTGGACTGAGGAGAAGGTTCCGAGCTCATGAGGAGAATCGGTCATTGTCCCGATTCACAAGAAGGGTTCCCGCGCCGATTGCTGCAACTACCGCGGAATCTCCCTAATCTCTGTCGCATCCAAAATCTTCTTTTCGGTCCTACTTGGCAGGCTTTCAACGACTAGAGAGGAGTTTTCCCGAGAAGAACAAGCCGGATTTCGTCCAGGCCGCGGCTGCATCGACCAAATCTTCGCGCTTCGGCAAGTTCTCGAACTTCGTCACATCCACCGGCGGCCAACAATCGTAGTGTTTTTGGACATCCGATCGGCATTTGATTCAGTAGATAGATCTGCGTTGTGGAACTGTTTACTGAAGAAAGGTGTGCCCGACAAGTTTGTAACCATCCTGAAAGTACTTTACAGTCACACGTCGGGCAAAGTTAGGGCTTACGGCACGCACTCCTCTTCATTCGCTGTGACCAGCGGTGTTCGCCAAGGTTGCCCTATTTCACCTTTCCTCTTCAATTTCGCCATCGAAGATGTTCTCCAAAGGGCACTGGAAGGTGTCCAGGACTGCGGTGTTGAGCTTCTCCCTGGAGACAGACTCACGGACTTAGACTACGCCGATGATATCGCCTTGCTGGGGGACGACCCACAATCCGTCCAGAACGCTCTGGACCGCTTGGCGATGGAGGCGTCTAAGTACGGCCTATGCTTCACTCCGGGAAAATGTAAAACGCTGCTCCAGGATTGGCAGGTGCCTGAACCCGCGCTCACCATTGCTGGACATGTTCTGGAGCAAGTCCCTTGCTTTACTTACCTAGGGTGTTGCATCACGGCTGGTGGCGGTGTTGGAGATGAAGTCTCACAACGGATTGCAAAGGCCCGCCTTGCATTCATCAAACTGAGACATCTATGGCGTCGTCGTGGTGTCAGTCTCAAGCTCAAGGGCAGGGTGTACAATGCTTCCGTCCGTGCAGTACTCTTGTACGGCTGTGAGATTTGGCCTATTCGCTCGGAAGATATGAAGCGGCTATCAGTCTTTGATAATCGCTGTCTACGAAGGATTGCTAGGGTGTGGTGGCAACACCACGTAAGCAACACAGAGGTGAGAGACCGCGTGCTTGGAGCGAATAGTGCCAGTCTTCAAGACGTTATTCTCCGACATCGCTGGCTCGGGCATGTTCTGCGCATGCCAGCCCATCGCCTTCCACGTCGAGCGCTATTTGCACTCCCAGGGAGCGATTGGAAAAAGTGCCGCGGTGGACAGCCGATGACGTGGAGAAGGAGTATGAAGAAGGCGACCTCAAGTTTGGCAGCAGTCGGACCAGTCCGCCTTCCAGGTTGGGGACCATGAGATGCTGAATTGCAGTGGTTGGAAACATTGGACGTCATGGCCCGCAACAGACATCAGTGGCGGCAATGTTGTTCCGCAATTTCATCATCCCTTTGATACACACAAAAACTCACAAAACAAAAAATACAAAATGACGTGTGTAAAACCAAAAAAATCGTTTTCTATATTTTTTAATCGTATTAGTGTTCCCATCTTCTTTACCTTTTTCTTCTACCATGGTTCTGATGGCACAATGTTAACAGACTGTGAATAAATAAATAAATATATATGTATATATATATATATATATATGTGTTATACTTCTCCCAGCTTATTTATTGATTAGGGGTCAGGCAAGATCGATTCTGTGATCCTATCAGTTGTTACTTTCAACAGATCGGGTCCTGCCAGTGGACAGTACCCATTTCCATTTGTCTTGAGCTAAAAATTTCAACCGTAGTTCTTTAGTGAGGACTTTCATCGTTCTCTCACCTAGGTGTAGGCGTCTTGGTGGTATCTGGAACCGCACACAATCAGGATGTTTTCCTCATACTCTCGATACAGCTTTCGAAGTACACTTCTTGTCACTGAGGATAAGGTCGGCCGGTGACCGAGTGATCTGCGCGCCTGGTTTGCAACCATAAGGTCCTATTTTCAAATCCGCCTAGGCGTGAGCGTCCTCGCTTTATACTCAGCCCACGTGCAACTTGTGGCGGTCGCGTGTCAGCGAAGCACCGTTACGGCGTACAGCTGCCGATTTATTTTTTATTTTTTTCCTGACGATTACGCCCATGCAAAACGTTGGCAACGTCATTTACTACCTCCACTTCTTTCTCCTGGCTCTCCTTACCAGTTTTCACGTCTGCACTTGCGTTATTCTGATTCGAGGCTTTTCCTCTTTTTTCGTGGTTTGTTCAGAACTCGTCTGATTGGTCCGATGCTCTCGCCCACCTGCGACTGAGTCAAATGAACGAATTGAGTGCAGCGGCCTTGGAGGGCCCCGGAGGCTACGCTCGAGCCTATGAGACCATCGTGAGATTAAGCCTTCTATCCGATGTGGAACTTGTGGCTAATTTTGGCGAGCAGATCCAACATCGGTTGCGTTCTAGTGCACTCGAAACCACTAATTCCCTTCAGCGTTCCGCCTCCACAGGGACCATAGATGCTTCTACCTCGGCCACCGATTTGTCGGTAAGGTGACTAATATCCCTGTTATTGTTGCACGTTTTACATGCCAGTGTTCTCAACATTGTGTATCTTAATTTCCTTGTAAATTATGGGAGGGTCCATTATATATATATATATATATATATATATATATATATATATATATATATATATATATATATATATATATCATGGCGGCCACCTGTCTATGGCGACCATACAAAGACATCCCCAACGGTCTCTTTTATTCATGAACTCGTCCATGGCGGCCACCTTTTCAAGATGACCACTTTTTGTTGGTCCCTTGAGTGATCGCCTTGGACAGGTTTGACTGTACACATAAGCTTTCATTTTGGTTTCAAAATACCTTTTTATAACACATAGGCCGTTACCATTCCTTTAATTCCTCAGTCTAGCTTGGAGCGTATACTCAACCTGCTGGACACCCGCATTAAGGCAAACCAACCCTCGTTCCATGTGCTGGAACCATCTTTGGCTATACATCACACATCGTTACACTTGCTGTGGTTGAAGCTGCGCTCTTTATCGGCGTCTATGAGACCAAATGAGGTCTTATCCTCTTTAACGAATCGTCTGAGTCTGGCTATTGGAAACAACTGGTTGCAGCGCGCCAAGCTTGCTCGGAAGTGAGTCTCTCACTAATACTGATTTCCCACCCCGTTTGAACTTCCTTCATCGGTTCGTGCATAATCACCCCACTTCCCTCTCCTCAGATCCGGCCAATTCATGGCAGCCTACACGTGTGTCCTAAGAGCAGAAGCGTTCGGGATCCCGCACGCACTTATAGAGCGGGCGAAATTGCTGTGGCGCACCGAGAAACGGGAATCTGCCCAGTCTTGTCTGGATAAAGGCATCCCAGCGATGTATGGACAAAGGCAGTCAAGCGATTTGACTCAACTTACTACTCAGCAGGTCTGTTTAGTAGCGCTTCATCGCTGCCATTTCGTTTTCATCCCCACGCACCTGCACACCTGATTTATATATCGCATTTTCGTTTACTTGTGGTCCTAGGCGATGCTTCTTCGTGCTCGGTACTCGGAAGAGACTAGCCGCTTCGACTTCGAGACCACTAAACGCATGTACGAAGCTGCGTGCCATCTCCATGACGACTGCGAGGCGGCACATTTTCGCCTGGCCCGTTACGTTGATCGCGCATGTTCTCTGGCCACCGTGGCCAAGCAACACGAGTGAGTGCGTCCGTACTGTATGAACACTGCCCCAAAACCATTACTGGATAAAAATTGATCATCGTGTACACATTTTGATGTGATCGCCACTTCTCTTTTTACTACCACATGGAAGATGCGATTCTGCCCCGCATTTCTCAGTTTCGTTCAATTCCTCAGATCAACGCCCGGTCAAAACAAGACTACACGCATTGATCCTAATCACAGGGTTGGCTGGTTATCATACCTTCTAATTCAACTCTCAGTGAGTTGTATTTGATGACCATGGTTTATAAGTGACACGCAACCGCCTGTTTGAGATGTAATCACTTGAGGACAGGCTGTCTGTTGATACTGACACTGTAGTACAAATTCCAGTCTCTAGTAAAAGTCCCATTAGCATACTTAACCCATGTACTCGAAATTCACGCTAACGCATTAGTTCGTCCAAGTCGCAGTTCTGACAAGTACCTCGAAACGAGTTATCCAGTGCAGAATGACTAAAATTCACCCGCCTCGTAACGGTCCCACTGACCGAATTAATCGGAGCCCAATTCAAAATGAATTACGGTCCAGATTGAGTTAGAGTATCTCATCCCTTCTACACAAGATGCGCCTCAAAATGACCTCTCTCCAGTGAATCACCAATCGTTGCGCCGCTCGGCTTGTTGGTTTGGGAGTAGAGGCAGTGGTTGACATCCCAGTCTCCAATTTCGATTGCAGTGTTGTTATGTCTACCTGATGGGTGCAAGCGCGGGCATGAAACCGGACGTGGAGTGAGCGGGTAACACATAACGATTATATGACATGTTGATTGTTGAAAACTGTTTTAGTAGATGAAGCCTAACAATTAACTACACGTTTATCGCAACCCTGTTTCTCGCATCTTCTTCGCTCTAACACTGGAATGCTTTCTCTCACACTGTGGAGGGAGTTACTCTGACTCCATTCAGCGGTTTCCGAATCTGGATTGGCACATGTCCTTATCAATGCGTCACTAAAGTGCTTGAGCGGCGTGATTGAGCGTTGAGCACGTAGCAAGTTGTGAATTTCACCAAACAATGTGTCGATCGATTTGGACCACATTCTAGCGAATCTAGGACTTTCTGGGACCGATTTTGCAGCTCTTGTCACTAAATTGTGCCATGGGGTTGAGGACAGCGGGCACTTGCCTCACACAAATTGATTTAACATTTTATTTTGCTTTGTTAGCGGACCGTTCACACACATTGATCAACACGTCGCTTGTGCTTCTAAACTTACCCGACATTACACGTTCCGTACCAATTCACAAAATGCTATTGATACTTTTTACCGTCGCTTGTCCTTCGACTTCACAGAAACGGTGCGCTCCGATGCCGAGATGCAATTGCTACAATACGTAACCTGCACGATCTCTGAGCCACTTTATTTTTAGTACCCTCCTCTACAGTTCGCTAGCGCACACCTGTGTACACCGTAGTCCTTTGGTGATAGCTTTCAATGTATCACTGATCGGTGATAGTGGGGTCAGTATTTTACGAACGTAGCGTTGATGACAGTGTATGCTACCAAATAAACCAACCATCCCAACGAGTATGTATCTTGCACATTTATTCTCGGTGAAAAGCGCGTCTGCGCAATTTTATGCCAGATCATGCAATTTGACCTTCTGCACTCAGTGCATGTGTATGATGTTTGCACTATCGTTCCCTTTGCCCGGACCGTACTCACTCTCGGCGACGCTGAATTTGGTCCGTTCCATTCGCACTGAGCCTTTTTTGTGTTTCTTGGGCATGACGTTCACGTCGTGTTTTTCTTCTAACGCGAGTTTTTCGATTGACCAACCAGCCGGAGGACTTTCGATTTTTACTCACGCGCAAACGTATGTCTCAGCACCCGGCTGAAATGCATCGAGCTTCACAGAGTTGTTGTTTCGTGTAGTTCGCCTTATCCGTCGTGCTTCTCCGTTTCCCACTGGGCTGCTCTTACTTAAGCTAGTAATCATTGCACTGGCTCGATACTTCGTAGACCTGACTTTGCATCGCTTCAGCTCCACCAGCCATAATCTGGGTCCCGATACAGCCCCTCACTTACTTGATGCGTTAGTTACAAACTTCCTTTCAGATGTTGTCTGCAGTATGCTACAGGTCACCTTTGCCTTACTTCAGTGCTTTCGATGGAGCGGATGACCACATTGAATCACTCCATAACTCTTATACCACAGTTCTGTTTTCATAATACTCGGTATAGTTACCTTATATTTGAATGCTAGTACACCGTTTCCTTATTCATTTCGTCACTTTATCTCTGATGAATTTTACTGAACATGAGACTGTGATTACTTAAGTCAGGTTGTGAACTTTGACCGAATCTAGGAACTTCTACAACATGGCCTAAGAAGCTGCATGAAATGATAGGGAAATGGTTAATCTGTGTAGTACCTTATCGGAGAAGGACGAATATCTGTGCCAAGTTTCTTTATTCTTGGTGCACGAGAAGTTGATTAGGGGAAATCTTTACTGAATGACTCTAGTACAACACCGGCGTGACATCACTCACAATGCAGGGTATAGTCTACGATACAGCAGCCCGTTTAACCCTAATATCGGTTGTGAAACATGGCCCATCGACTCGACAAACACTAAGAGGGCAGTGGCGTTCACCATCTGGTGTCTTCATAGTTTAGTTCACATGTAGCGAGTACACCGCGTAAACAAGTAGCGTGTTCGCTGCCTCGCTTGACACAGAAACAACAAGTGAACCGCTCAGCAACGTTATTTTTCTCACCAGGCTCCCATGTCTGGGATGTTTTACGCATACCAAAACACCCACTCCACGACCGGGGTCTGGTTGGTAGAAGTCCAGTCGATGACTTGATCAGATGGAATTAGGGCCTTGACTTCGACGTTTGCCCCGGCTGGAGTCCAGTTTTTCTGGATAAGATTCTAAAGACAGTAGACACGTTTGTTTGGATACCCAAGTTGACAAATCTACGAATCCCCTACAACAGCGTTTGTATTGGGAGTCTTTCGGTCCCTCTTCTTCCCAATTAGCCTCATCCTCTAAAGCCGATCACAATAGCGATGCGCAATAAAAACGAAGCAAAATATCATTTAGGTTGTATCATCCTTTTTACTTTCGTCTTTTTTCCCTTTTTTTCTCTGTGTCGCAACACATGTGAGGATGACGCCTCATGCCTTTTGACAGGCTAGTGGCAAACATAATCACACAGTATTCACATACATACTACGGACTCAGTCTAGCTAGAACAACAACAAGCGCTCTATCTTTGAGGCGGAAACGTGCAGCATGTATAAGAGTTTGGAACAGCATACAGAAAATTCAATAGAGATAAAGTGACAACTTGCGAACTCAGACGATGCACTGGCATTCAAATATAAGGTAACTATTCCGAGTATTAAGAAAACAGAACTATGGTATAAGAGTTATGGAGTGATTCAATGTGGTCATCCGCTCCATCGAAAGCACTGAAGTAAGGCAAAGGTGACCTGTAGCATACTGCAGACAACATCTGAAAGGAAATTTGTAGCTAACGCACCAAGTAAGTGAGGGGCTGTATCGGGACCCAGATTATGGCTGGTGGAGCTGAAGCGATGCAAAGTCAGGTCTACGAAGTATCGAGCCAGTGCAATGATTACTAGCTTAAGTAAGAGCAGCCCAGTGGGAAACGGAGAAGCACGACGGATAAGGCGAACTGCAAAAAACAACAACGCTGGATGCATACCAACTGGGTGCTGAGATATTCGTTTGTGCCCGGCCCGTAGCCTAAAGGTAATAAGCTTGTCTCGCATTCTGGCGGTGGGGGTTCAAGCCTGCGTAGGGGCAGGGCGACCTACGCAGTATCCTAGCCCACATGCAACCGGTGGTGGTTGCGCGGAAGCGAAGCATCGGAACTGCGTTCCAATGTACTGCCGATACGTTTGCGCGTGAGTAAAAATCGAAAGTCCTCCGGCTGGTTGGTCAATCGAAAAACTCGCGTTAGAAGAAAAACACGACGTGAACGTCATGCCCAAGAAACACAAAAAAAGGCTCAGTGCGAATGGAACGGACCAAATTCAGCGTCGCCGAGAGTGAGTACGGTCCGGGCAAAGGGAACGATAGTGCAAACATCATACACATGCACTGAGTGCAGAAGGTCAAATTGCATGATCTGGCATAAAATTGCGCAGACGCGCTTTTCATCGAGAATAAATGTGCAAGGTACATACTCGTTGGGATGGTTGGTTTATTTGGTAGCATACACTGTCATCAACGCTACGTTCGTAAAATACTGACCCCACTATCACCGATCAGTGATACATTGAAAGCTATCACCAAAGGACTACGGTGTACACAGGTGTGCGCTAGCGAACTGTAGAGGAGGGTACTAAAAATAAAGTGGCTCAGAGATCGTGCAGGTTACGTATTGTAGCAATTGCATCTCGGCATCGGAGCGCACCGTTTCTGTGAAGTCGAAGGACAAGCGACGGTAAAAAGTATCAATAGCATTTTGTGAATTGGTACGGAACGTGTAATGTCGGGTAAGTTTAGAAGCACAAGCGACGTGTTGATCAATGTGTGTGAACGGTCCGCTAACAAAGCAAAATAAAATGTTAAATCAATTTGTGTGAGGCAAGTGCCCGCTGTCCTCAACCCCATGGCACAATTTAGTGACAACAGCTGCAAAATCGGTCCCAGAAAGTCCTAGATTCGCTAGAATGTGGTCCAAATCGATCGACACATTGTTTGGTGAAATTCACAACTTGCTACATGCTCAACGCTCAATCACGCCGCTCAAGCACTTTAGTGACGCATTGATAAGGACATGTGCCAATCCAGATTCGGAAACCGCTGAATGGAGTCAGAGTAACTCCCTCCACAGTGTGAGAGAAAGCATTCCAGTGTTAGAGCGAAGAAGATGCGAGAAACAGGGTTGCGATAAACGTGTAGTTAATTGTTAGGCTTCATCTACTAAAACAGTTTTCAACAATCAACATGTCATATAATCGTTATGTGTTACCCGCTCACTCCACGTCCGG